AGACGTCTACGGCATCACTTAGCTCACCAGGAGCAGAGATGTACAATTGGGTATTATCAGCATATTGATGATACATCACCTCTTGGTGATGGGTGAGTTCACCCAGCAGTCTCACGTAGATGTTAAATAGAGAAGAGAGCACTGACTCCTCCACAAAGTAGGGGCGCAGGGCAGGAAATCTTCCCAATCACCACTGACTGGAATTGACCCTGGAGAAAGGAGGTGAACCCAGGTCTGAATCCTGACTAAAAAGGATCCAGATAATATGCTTCATCCAAGGTCCCCTGAAGTTGCCGCGCAACCACCTTCCCCAAAAAGGAGAGGTTAGAGGATGAAAATTGTGGGGTCTATTGATGGCTTCTTGAGGAGAGGGTGAACCAAAGCCGCCTTAAGAGGTGAAGGAATGACTCCCTCACTCAAAGAATTAACTATCGCCAGAACCCACTCACACAACAACCCCTGGGTCACTTTCCAGGGGCATGGATCTAAAGAGCAGGTGCCTGAGCTCACAGTCCTAAGGTAGGCCTTAATAGCAGCTCTAACCCGTGTTCAGTTGAGTTCTTCCTTAGCTGAGCGCCAATGGCACTCTAGGCATCCCTTCTCTCATTTTATCTCCCTTCACTCCTTCGTATGCATGGGGAGTGATGGGATCCCCGAGAGGGGATCAGTCAATCAGTGATCCCTGGGGGCGGACCAATCTAATGCACAGTGTTCCAAATGCAGCCATCACTTTTGGTATGTGTTTTTTGTGTGTAAGAATTCCACCCAAACATCTTAGAATTTTTGTGGTTTGCAAGAGTTGTAAGTACAACTTCATATTAACACTTTTTTTTTTTTTAGGCAAAAGTTTGGTAGAATGTTGTGACTTATTTCAGAGAGCTACTAACGCATCCATTACTTGATATTTAGAACATCTATAACTATACCCTTGCTCTGCCATGGAGAGGAAAGAAAGGTGGAAGGGGAAAAAATGGATGAATTGAAGGAAGTCCAAAAAGACATTGTGTAGCATAAGAGAGGGCAGGTATTTGCCTTGGGAGTTTCCTTTACCTATGTTTGAAGTTCCACCATCAGGAACCAGTTACAAGAATGGATAGGAGAAGATAACTCATCACAAAATGGGCAGTTTTATTCCATTGTGACCTTTTTTCACCAAGAACAATTTATAACAGCCCTTAAACACATATAGTGCTTGATATTTTAGATCAGATTACATTCCTGTGCTTGAAATTTTTGCAGTGTAATTTGTACAAATTTGGAGCTAGCACTCTTTTACAATTTCAGTTATTAAACATTCTGTCATATTGCGTTCAACATTATAGACTCTGGCTGCTTGCTTTTTAGTAGCTGTATCAAAACAAAAAGCAGCTTGGTCAAATTGAACTTTTCCCAATCTTTGAAATTGACGTTATTATCCAGTCTGAAATGCATTGATACTGAGTATTCATACTTTTGATACCAAAACTGAACAGGAATTGAGTTATGAGACTTTATGTAACTATGGGATGCAGGCTAACTTTATTGTAGCTAACTGGAGCCAGAAATGTGTAAACAAGGCTGGACTTTATGGGTTTCAAGTCTGCCAAGGAATGGTGGTATAATTCTGTCCTCTCACCTATAGCTTTTTGGAATGTTTGCTGGTATTTCTGAAGTACGTTTTTAAAAAAACCATAAGTTTTCTTTGTCCTGTAGGCTAGCTTTAATATCTTCACTTGTGATTTCTAGTCACTAGATCACTTTCACAATTGGAGCACTGTATTGTGCTGATTCTCTTTCTTCCTTTGGGGGTGATTCCAGTCTGTGTTGATCAGAAGCGAGAGGTCCCACCCTTCGCCCATTTAACATCTACAGAAGCCACTGAGTGAGATCATCCATCCCCATGGGGTGAGGTATCATTAGTATGCTGATGATACCCAATTGTGCATCTCTGCCCCATACAAACTAAGCAGTGCTGTTGATGTCCTGTCTCAATGCCTGGAGGCTGTGGGGGTCTGGATGGGGAACGTGCTTCAACAGAATCCTGGCAAGTTTGAGTGGCTTTGGGTTTTGTGGGCTTTCCGATTTGGGAGTTTACCATCTTTGGTGCTGGTTGGGGTTGTACTGCCGCAAACAGACCATGTGCACAATCTGGGGGTCCTGGACTTACAGCTCCTGCTTGATGAGCAGGTGGCATTGTGGCTAGGAGGGCCTTTGCACAACTTCATGTAGTGCACCAGTGGCATCCAGGAGGCTCTACTATCAGTTAGTCATGCTCTGGTCACCTCCGAATGGACTACTGTAATGTGTTTTACATGGGACTGCCCTTGAGTATTCAGAAGCTTCAACTGGTGCAAAATGCAGTGGTGCGAGCAGTTATGTGTACTCCTAGAACTGCACATTACACCACTGCTCCGTAAGCTGCATTACGGAGTTTGCTTCTGAGTTCAATTCAAGGTACTGTTTTTGACCTTTATGGCATGGGGCCAGATTATTTGAGGGACCACCTCTCCCCCAGTTACATCTTCCTGTCCCATCAGGTCAGCAGCAGGTACATGTTATAGGTCCCGTCTGCTAAGGAGTTCCTTTTAATGGGACCCAGGAGGCAAGCTTTCTGTACCATGGTCCCCGCCCTTTGCAGCATCATTCCCCGCCCCCCCACAAGGTGATATTGGCCCCAACCCTATTGACTTTCTGGAAGTCCCTTAAAACTTAGTTCTGTCAGCAGGCTTGGGGATCCCATGGAGATAAGAGAGCCTGCAAAATGGCTATATTATATGCAGGACCTTGCATGTATTCTCCTGTGGTTTTGTTTATATTTATGTTTTTAATTGTTTTTTAATGGTTTTTAAGGCTTTGTTTTTAATTGTTATGTTTAAATTGTGTACACTACTCAGAGTTGTGCAGTGGGTGGCTATATAAATTTGTGAAGTAAATATAACACTGGATTCCCACTACACTGGTATACTGTTCCATACTAAAAAGGCCAGTATATCTGAGCATATGGAGGGGTGTGCGTGTTTCTTTTTTCTTCCCCCGGCCTTGTAATATTGCAGTCATACTCTGTGTTTTAGAGGAAGTGACTTTTAGGGGTGCTTGAGGTCCAGGTGGCTCTCACCTTAAAAAATGAACCAGTAATTGCGGCAGCATTTCTTAATTGTTAGTGACTGTACTGGAGCCATATTGGATACATGTTGAACTGAGGCCATTTGGAAAGGAGGGAACTAAATTCTTCATATTCAAAATATAGAAGACACAAATAGCCTTGTTCTTGCTTCCCACTCCCACCCCCACCCCCATTCTTAAGTCTTTGTATTACATTCCAGCTGGAAAGAATTTGGCAAAAATCTTTAAAATAGAGCAGAAGTTAGACAGTAAACACAGTTGCCAAGACAAGGTTGTGAAATTGGAACCAGTTAAGACCTGGCTAGACATTCATCCACTAGGGATCCCTTTGTGATAGCTGAAAACATCCCAGCTTGTTACTGAGAGGTTGCCTAAGAGGGATGCAATAATGAGATCAAGCAGCTATAATGACTGCTTGTAACTATATTTGAGAGTTAATTTACTGGATATAAAGTTGCAGTTTTCAGTCTTTCAATAGGAAAATCATATTCAGTGTACAACTCTGTAGCTTCAAACTATACTGTAATGCCATTGAAATAATTTAAGTAACCTAAGGTATAATACTGCAGAAAAAATCCTGTGCATGTCTAACATAAGTAAGTTCTTTTATGTGGAGTGGAAGACATACCATTTATGATTTTTGAATGTGCATGCATCTGGATGCCAAAACATACCCATCCATAGCAGAATATCACACTCATATTGATTTGTTCACTTCAGAATGGTAAAGCCTTACTCAAGCTCTGTTGCCAGTTGCCCAGTTTATGTACTTCAAGGCAGATAATATGTTAACAGATCATAACATTTCTGAAGTGTGTCCATTTGGGGGGATACAGCCTTTCTCTGAGTAATAACAATATTAGGACTTTAAACTATGAATAATATTTTAAAAATGAATTCCAAACGGTATTGGCATATGGGAGGTAGATGAGAAAGAAGAGCTGCATTCCTGGTCCCCTGCAGTATCCCTGTTCTAGTCTAGCACCCATTTCACTTGCAACCCATTTTGTAAGAAGGAAGAACCTGATGGAATCAGATTAAAAGCTTGTGTAATCTTTTTTATGCTGTGGCAAATAACACTGTAGGTAATTTAGATCTAGATGATCTGAGATACTCTGTCTCCACAAAGAGGATCTGAAGGCCTAATACTGAATCCCACTGTCATTCTTATACCCAGTATTTAATCATACCCATCTTTTATATACCAATTAAAAACTGAGGTTTTAACTAGTAAGTAGTTTCTGTGAAGAGCAGAGAAAAGTAGAATAACACTAAACAAAAGAAAGCATTCAGACTGAAAACTCCATGTTTTCACTAGCCATTAGAAGCAATAGAGCATAGATACATAAGGGATTTCACATGACATTTCATCTTGCTGTGCTGCTATCTAATCCTTATGCAGCAACTTTTAACTTAAAGCCATTGACATAGCTTTGATTTATCCTGTGCTCATCCAGAAACCTACCCCTTTAAATCTACTTAAGCTGGTAGCCTAGTATGAGTGGTGTTTTTTATTTGTAATGTCTAAAAGTAAGTTTGTATTAGAATGGATACTGGTATTCATCTTACGGACTAAAACCCATGATTGGGTCACAGCTTAAGCTAATGTTGGTTTCACCAATAGCACATATATAATAACATAATGAATTAATGCTTGGACCTCATTTGGGCAAAATGTTTTCTTATATCTGACAGCATATAATTTAAGGTATAGTTGGTACAGCTGTGAATAACAATCCAAATATGGAAATGTAAAAGATGTAACTTCAGCAACAACTATGACATTTGCCTGTGCAGTCTTCTAGTGTAGATGTTGATGGAAAACCATATTGAGTAGATGTGGCATGATACATTTTGAAAAAAAGAAAAACAAAATGTATTTTTCTTTTTATATTTAGCGTGTCAGTCTGTTTGAAGCTGCTGCAGAAACATCTTGAAATTCCAGAACATACTTTTTCTTATAAATCACACTGTGGGTCTAAAGAAGAGCTTGTCCAAATGAGCAAGACATCACAACAGAACACAACTGCAGAAACCAATGGAGTAAGTGTCATCTATACCCAAGCGCACACAAGTGGGTTGCAGCAAGTTCCTCAGCTGGTGCCTGTTAGTCCTGGAGGTGGGGGCAAAGCTACACCTCCTAGCAAGCAGGGCAAAAAGAATTCCGTTATTGATAGAAACAGTGATGAGTACCGCCAGCGCAGGGAGCGTAATAACATGGCGGTGAAAAAGAGCCGCTTGAAAAGCAAGCAAAAAGCCCAGGACACCCTCCAGAGGGTAAACCAGCTAAAAGAAGAAAATGAACGCTTGGAGGCCAAAATCAAGCTCCTTACAAAGGAGCTGAGTGTACTGAAAGATTTGTTTCTTGAGCATGCGCACAACTTCACAGACAGTGTGCAGCCTCTGGGCACAGAAAACTCTGCAACACATTCAGATGGATCTGGACAGTAGATAAACCATGTGGACACATCTTCCCTTTATGAGTCAGATAATAGAACAGAGAAGAATCTGCTCTCAACTTTGTACCATCTGTCATTTTTGACATCTTTTTAGTAGGCTTAACACTCTGTTTGATGCAAGGAAATTGAAAGTTTATTGTTAAGTATTTGTTTTAAATTAAGTGTTAATGTATTTTCTTGTCATTTTTGATAAAATGATAAAAATGGAGAAACATCCTCAAATTACTGTCACTAAAATTAGGACTGCATCATTTATTAAATTATTTAAGTAGTTTCTGGGCATAACGATTGGGTGGTACTTTTTCAAAATATAAATTGTTATAGGGTAAGAATTTGCAGACATTCTTCTCAATCTCCAGTTTATCTTGCCCAGGAGGAGGTGCCTCTTTTCAAAGTGGTTCCTGCAAGGCAAGTGTGGGTCAAAGAAAGTGTGAACAATCCTCAGATATTCATATGCAAATTTACATACTTCACCAAACTATGAAGTGGATGTAAGCCTTAAATTAGTTGTTCGGGTTAACAGCTTTTTTTCAGCAGGGTAACAAGTAAATATCCATATACTGATAATCAGCTGAATAGCTGATTAAATAAGCTTTAAAATTTTCCTTTTCCACTTCTTTTGTAGTACAAGACTTGCTTTGTAATTTAGGTTGGGATTTTCAAATATTTGCTGTGTACAACTCCTGTAGTTGAGGAGGCTTGCTCAGTAGTGGTGCCTAACAAATTGTTAAGGGGAAGGCAAGAAGACTGGTTAAGACATGAGGATTATGGTCTTCTCCAGGCCCTACTTTATCTATGGTCTGAAAATGGGCCTGTTCTAGGCATGAGGAACTTCCACCTTCATCCTTGTGGCTAATGGAATTGGACAATTGTAGTGACCCTATCTACCTGTCCACCATTCTAAACATCTGCAGTGTCTGCACAGGGATTTAGCCGGGGCGGGGGGGGGAGGCCAGGATTTTCCCAACTGCTGCTACTTTTCTAACAGCCTCCAAATGAGGTGGCTTGAGTGTAGATGTAAATTGGGTCCTGCTGGGGTAGCCATCTGCATGGGGGTTCAGGACTCACTTTCATAACTGGATGGATTCATGCAGTGTCAAGCTAGTTACTTTAAACCACTGTTTGTTGAACATGCTACTGTGGCAGGGTTCCCATGAAGGCATAAACGACAATTGCTGATTCACATACCACACAAACGAAAACTAAACAGATCCTGTGGTTTTGTGTGATTTGTTTGCTGCTTGTTTTGAGGTCCCTTCTTCAGAATCATTTTTAAGGCTTGCAACAGTTTTGGGACAGATAACATTAAAATCTAATTGTGGCAGGCAGATTCAGGATAAAAGCCACGACAGAAGAGCCATGGTCATGCCTCTTCCCTCATCTTGGGTGAGCTCTTAATTCTGTAACTCTACATGGCAGAACTGCATTGCTCTTGAGATCCAGATGAGCAGGAAAGTTCTGGGCCACTCGTTTGAGAAGGAAAAAAAATATCAAGACCTGGCTATTTATTACCCAGGTTCAACTTTAATTCCACAGTGAACCAAAAATACATAATCATCTTTCCAACAGGATCCATAAAATTAAATCTTTTGCTCTGTGGCATTCCTGTGGGGAAAACATGGGGCTTTTTGACACTTCAGATGCTGATGGTATATTTTTTGGAGTAGAAGAAAATAAACATATTTAACAGAGCAGGGAAGTTCATGTAACCTTAATTTATTTTCTTTCACAATCTCTCCATTCATAGTATGTTTGCATATGACTGATTGGACTAGTGAAAATGATTTTTATACCTCCCCTTTTGAAGTTACTGTGTTTGTACATGTATTTAGAAAACTTAGTTGGTGGTAGAAAATATTAATAAAAAGCCTCACAACAATATGCTGACTTATATTTCTGTAAACTGTAATACTTTATATCTGAAGCCTAATTATTTTAGGCTATCAAGCTGCAGTTCCAAAAACACCGAATCTTGAGAGAATAGGGAGGGGGAATGGAGGCTGTGGTTAGAAGATCACCCTTGAGAGGTATAAAAATATACCTGAGTACATTATGCAAGAATCACTGCACACTAGAATTGTTTGAAAAAAAAAAAAAATCCCCATCTCATCCAATAAACTTCATGTTTTATATATAAAATTTCTTATTATATAAACCTGTCATGCATTTGTAGACCAAATGTAACATTTAAAAATGTAAAATACTGATTTGAAAAAGATTATTTCTCAATCTGAAAATACTGATAAGATATTTCTCAATCCATATCCATTTGTGACTTGCTTCCATAACTTCCTTAAAAGCCAGTAGAACTAAGTTTTCAAATACTTTTCGGGTTACTTTTTCAAAGTGCCTGTAACATACTTGTTCTATTTTACCTGAAGCATTTGATTGGGGTGGGGTTAGGTGGGGGTGAGGGATCTACTTTCTTATTTCATGCCGGGAAAAAAGTTCATCCAATTTGGGGATCCCAATTTATCTTGTTTGCTCCACTTCTTCAATTCTGGCTTTCCCTTAACTCTAAATATATTCATTTAGGTACTCAGTTATTCATATTTAACCATTCATACTGCATTGTTAACATTGCTTTTAAGATTTACCCCGGTAAACATTTATCTACATACATCATAGAGGCTAAAAAGCTACCTACGTCTCTCTATCCTTTCCTTTACAACTCTGCTGCAGCACTGTTGCTAAGCACTGTCACATTTTATTTGCTTCTTTTAATTAGTATTTTAATACCTTGGCATTTTTATTTTCCTATTCAAATGTTCTGTAAATATTTTTGTAAGTCTGGTACATAGTTATGTTGCTTGTGATTTATTCCTCTTGTATAATTTCCTAGTTCTACAGACCCATGTACTACTTTCTTATTTCTCTCTGTGCTTTTTTAAAGGACCACTTTTTAGAATTTTGTTTGCAGTTTTCTCATTTAAAATGTATACAAAAGGGAATTCTGTTGAAAAAACAAGGCAGCCAAATACTGTTTTGAAGTAAAGTATATACTATCCAAGGATATATACAGCTTGCATACAGTATTAGGCAAAACAAACATGAATTTAAAGTGGAGTTTTATTTCTCCATTGCAGAGGACAATAGGGTGGAACATGAAACTGATGTTCCCATCCCAAACCTGGGGGGGTCCTCAGGGAAATAGATGTTGGGAGTTGCATGCTTGAGAAGCGTCGCTAAGCCACTCTGATGTGCACGCTGAAGCACTTCTTGGCTGGAAGGGGCTGAGTGGCAAGAAGCTGGTGGCTTCTCTCCTTTTTCCTTCTCCTGGGCTAAATGCAGGAAGGAGAGAACTCTGGCTGTGGGAAACGGGGGGTCAAAGGAGGCCTGAGGGTACCTTCTTTCCACCCCTCGCCCTTCAGGGGGACTGGGACACAGTCAAATCTTTCAAAACCTCAACACTGAAAAGAGAATCTCAGAAAAAGAAACGGAAGACCAAAGTGATCTTCAAAGCAACACTTTTATTCATTTATTTCATCTGCAGAACTTCTGCTCTTTATATTGGCTATTAAGAGGAGATTCTGTTGTACTGATTCTTGTATTTGCTTAACAGCAGCTACCCCCGTCATTGAGGGCAAAGCTTGTAAAGAGGCAAATCAAGCTAAAATCATATTTGGCCATCTGTGCCATCACCTTTTTTCATATCTTTTGCCCTAGGAAAAAAGTACTTTGATTTTAAAGATTTCTTTCCTTTGTAAGCAAGTAGCTGCTTTTCTCACAGAGCTGAGGTGAATGGCAAGGGAGGAGGTGGCACCTAGCTAGAGGCTGAAGCAAAAGATTTGGTGCTGCCCTGAGCCTCAGACAGGAATGCTTCAATTTCCTCTACCGTGCGAGGGACACAAGTCAGCAACTCCATTCCACTGGCTGTCACCGCAATGTCATCCTCAATCCGTACCTGGGAAAAGACAGACACACCCGATAAGCGTGCAGTGACAGAGTGACATGGATCCATTTTAATTTGACTTAGTTAGGCCCTGCCAATCACGGCTTACTGAGATCAAGATAATTCTGTTGCTGATGTTTCCTCCCCACCTCATAGTAGGATGACATACCTCACAAAGAAGCTGCAGGTGATTTTCTCTAGGATAAAAGAGAAAACCTGGGTTCTCAATACTCTTCACTTCAGGGGGAGCAGAGACAGTTCTTCACCACCAGTAATGATAGCAGTGATGAAAACTGCCATCTGCCCAATCCTGCAGACCTCCCCCAGGAATTCATACACATGCTCCTTTCATGTTCTGCCTCAGATGAGAGGAACATGTGGCACCATTGCTCCTCTGGTACAATTGCATGGAGTCACTCTTGAGAGAGATGGGCGGTGACTAAATTTGAAATATAATTAAATTCCTACCTAGCTTAATGTAAGTAGTGATACATTGTTCTTTTATTAATCACTGTCCCACTCTTAGGTTTTATTATGTGCTTGTTGATTACTATTTTGTTACCCCTTGGAATTAACCTGATTACAGAGGTCTAGAGGTATAATGAATAAATATAAACAGAAATTATGTGTTCAGCATTGAGAATATTATACTGCCTACATAAAATGTACCAGCTTAAGTTGGATCATCCACCTCAAATACAGATCCAGCATAAGTACAACTTTGGGGGCCACAACATAAATATGATTTTCCATCCCATTATGTTTATTAAGGTCTATCCACCCCTCTGCTTTTTAAAAAGGAGCCATTACATGGGATGCTTTGTAGCTGATACTGTTACTAAGATCTTTGAAACCTTTCCCATTCTCATTGGGTGTGAATGAAAAGGCCACAAGGTTCTGCGCTCAGTCCTAATCTCTACCTGTTAAATATGCAGACTCAGTCATTATCCCTTATCTTATCAGAAATGTGCTAGTAGGTCTGTAAGCTGCAATAAAAGCAATTTTAGCCAAGTGTCAAATCCAAAGGAACACAAACCCTAGTGATTCCCACTATGCAGTGCCTGTAATTGTTTCTGACCTCCTAGCAATTTGATCTAAAAATAATGCTAGTTTAACATTTGTCCTTCTGCTTGCAAAATAATCCATTTATTCAAACAAAGCAATTCACTGAGCCTTATTAAAGCGTTCAGTGAGCTGATTGTTAAATTATCTTCTTTATTTAAAATTAATTTAAGTGTTGTTATGGATCAGAATTAAATAAACTTGGCAGAACATGTTCAGCAGGAAGCTGACAGCTGTTCAGTCTAAATCTACAAGCTCTCACTCTTTACTACCCAGGAAACACAAGTGCTCTGCTTCCAATGACAAAAAGAGTCCTTTCTCATTTTTTCCCCTTCCTAGAAATCAAAATGAGCCAATAGAAGGATTTGTATTTCTAAGCTGCCCCCAATGATATACCTGAAATTGTCAAGACTTTGGATCAGCTCCTTGAAAATCTGTAGAGAGTCCTACGTAAGATGTAACCATCTCAGCCAAGTACTGTGAAGAGCTTGCACACCTTCTTGGGCAGTAGATGTACAAATGCAGACATTCTGAATTTAATGTAGCTTTTCCTCATGGGACTATACATCACAGAATTCCCAGCCAGCAAGGTCTTCAACAGACCTGCAGAATTTCGCATTTGGTGAAGACACCTGCACAATAAAGGCTGGTCTTTTCCAGAAAATTCAGATTGGTATCAAACTGCCCCTCTCAGACCCCCACTTGGTTATTGAAGAACATTCCGACTTTTTTGGAATGGCTTGAGAAAAACCCTTTAAATTAATGTTAATCATACTGAAGGCATTTTATTTGCAATTTATCATTCTAAATGCTATTTTGATGCCCATTTGTTTTCTACTGATTTACATCAGGTGATCACGAAGCATGTTACAATATGATAACAAAACGATACGTAACTGAAGTTTCTGATTACAAATTTGTCAGCATTCCTATTTTTCTCTTTAGGGAATAGCCACTAGATAAGTCTGGTTGCTATTGTTTCCTTGCATTCTGGAGATCTATTATCCAGCCATTGCTTGAAGATGGAATTTGGAATAGATCTGTCCCAGACACAATGAGAACTTCAGAAGGACCACCTGCAGAGGCTGTCCCAGGACAGCTGTCCACTTTTGTGCAACCTTCAAGGAGTTCCTTGCTCCTTGCGATGAGGAGAGCAAAGAAATCCATGGCGAGTGCCACTATGCTTCTGGGCTGGCTGATGCAGCAAAATTTGCTGGGGCACCTAAGCAGCCCTGCAAGCAGAGAGTGGTGGGTGACACACACATTTCAGCCCTCAGGATCCTGGTTGGCTCAAATGCATTTGATAAAGAAACAGCACAAAGCAGAGATAACCTTTCCAACCTAGGGAGAGAATTGAGCAGCAGAAGGTAAAGTCCCACGTGGCTTGATAAGACTGTATACTCTGCACACACAGCTTTTGAGCCCTGGAGGTGAAGCCAAGATGGAATGACTCAGAACTGGTGGTGAGGGATCCCGTCCTTGTGCAAAGCCTCCAACAAAAGAGTCTGAATTCCACACTCACTTTGATACAGTGACACTCTAGTGGAGATGTTTGTTAAGACAAATATTCTGTGATCATTGCAGCAGATCAACTTGTCTTTTGCAAATCATTTCCTCCCCCAACATTCTGCTCCCAGACAGCCCTAAGACAGAACCAGAGGAGGCAGATGCACACCTGCTGAAGAGCCTTCGAGATCCAATTGTAGGGATATTCCGCAGACTTGTCAAAGTCTGCCAGGAGATGGCTGCAAGCTCTCCACCAGGAGAGGTTTCAAAGCAGTGAGAGAAAACCCAGCTGTGTCCTGCCCTCAGGTGGCCCTTTATGGCCTTCTCCACCTGGATTTGGATGTTTCCAGCTCACTAGCAACATCACTGCCCTGATGCCTTCCTTGCTTTGTTTTCCTCTTCCTTTTTCCTGCAATAGATGACTGAAGCACCTGGAGTTACACAAATGATCCAAGGATGCCGCTGTTGCTTTGGGAATATGGACCATAAACCCAGAGTTTCCAAAAGTGGATCTACCTAGTCCAGCTGCTGCAAATTACTTCTATATTGCACTGATGTTGTTTAAGTGACTGGCTGATGAAAACAAAATATTCCCTAATGGCAGAGCATTTAAAGTCACTTTCAAGAACTGCAAAGAGGCCAAGCTTTGAAGTCACAAATTCCAAATTTAAACTCAAATCAGGCACAAATCTGTTTTTAGGCCATTCCTTGTCTCTTTCCACCTCAACCTGCCTACTCTCCAAGACCTATGCATTTACATGGCATTCGGCATGGAATATGTTTTGAAAATAGTTTCTCCTCAATGCTAGGTGTAGCTTTTTCCAGTCCACCTTTGCACCCTGGCGAAGTTACTCACCCCACCAAAATCTCGGAAACGCGCAAGGACTTCATTGTTGATGAAACAGGCCTGAGCGGGATTAGCCAAGGCCTGATCCAAGACATGGTCAATGAAATAGATGCCAGGCTCCACAGTCAGCACCATGCCTTCGAGAAGGGTACGGGCAGTTCGCAAACTCCGGAGCCCTGGCAAATCAATGCGTTCCACTCCCTGGGAAAGGAAAGAGTTCATAAATTCAGTGAGAAGCTTGTGGTGTGTTTCAGTCCTCCAGGCCATAGATGTCCATGTTGATGCCATATGGAGAACAACACGGAAGCCTGCTGCAGAAAGAAACAGGCACAGAATACAACATACAACAAAGGCTGTGGCAACTTAAAAGACATTATAATGGATTATGCCAGGATGTTCCATATTGCCCTTTGTGACAGTGTTATAAGGTAAGCCTTCATGAAAAGCTATGTGCTCAAAAGTTCCTGGAAGGAATTAAAATTGGGCTGATCTCTGTGTGTCCCCACAAATATGCCAGAGATTATGATGCCTGAAAGTTGGAGATCTGGTTCCTTTGGGTTTCAGGGTCTAGCCTGGTCTATGAAAGTCCTTCTGCAGTTTTACAGTTTGCCTGCCATTCCCCCAAAAGGCCATTTGTTAGCAGACACAATCTAGGTGTGCACAGGGGTTGCTCAACTAACTCTTAGGAGTGTGCAAAATGCTTCAGTAATAAATCTGTATCTTCCATGGAGGTGACACCATAACCCAGGCCAAATTTCTTGTCTTCCCCGGGAACGTTTACCTGTTGTGAGCTGCCCAGATGAAATGGGTGACCATACAAATCGAAATAACAACAACAACAAATAATGTATTGCCTGCAACTGTCAAAACACACTGAGGTTTTCTTATTCCAAAAGGATGAGAGGAGGAGAAGGCTGATTTCCTGACCTACTTGGATGGCTTGATGTAATAAAGACAGCGACACTGATACAAAGGATTTTACTGCTGTGTAGAAACAGACACAGAGATTTTAGGTTTCTCCTTTGTTAGCTCCAGCTTTATAACATTAGTATTAATGAGGTTTTTACATTCTAGTTACTAGTTTTAGAATTACAGTTCTAGTGTTGCTATTATGTACTTTCAATTCTAAGGATTTGTTTGAGAGTTATAGTTTTACTATTAATAATACCTTGTCATATTATACTCTATTTACATTTAAGAACTCACATTCGTCTGGTGCTTTTTACTTCATATTTTATTTTTATTTGTTTGCCTGATTGTTCTTGTTTCATGCTGCTCATTGATGAAATAAAAACTGGATTGGGCTGCTGAATGGCAAATTAGGACTACATTTAAACATACACAGGATGTAACACCCTGAACCTGGGTTAAGAAAACACATTGGCTTATTTACATCACATGCAGTGCCCAGGCAAATAAAGCTGGTTCTGGCTTATGGCGAGGGACTTATTCACACAACTTGATGGGACAGAGGCTGACCTCCACAGACTGTGAACCATAAAGTATCTCTCTTCCTTTTAATCTATTGGAACAGGTTATTTGAACCCTCCATATATATTTATCCATCACTATGCTTGCACCCCACCTCACCCCAAATTAAATAAAAAAAGATATTTCAGTGAAATATTTATGGTGACGTCTGGCATGCAAATGCTGAAATCCTATAAAATTTCAGCTTTCTTGAGATCCAATCAGAAACCTCACAAATATTAGCAATCCAGAGAGATGTACTGTCGAAGGCTTTCACGGCCGGCATACGATGGCTGGTGTGGGTCTTCCGGGCTGTGTGGCAGTAATCTTGAAGGTTTGTTTCCTAACGTTTCGCCAGCACGTTTCGTCACCCTGGGCACAGAGAGAACCGCTCCTGTCTGTGCTCCTGCCCTCTGAAGATGCCGGTCACAGGTGCTGGCGAAACGTTAGGGAAAAAAACATCAAGAACAACGCCACACAGACCGGGG